CATGTTCTGTGTTTTGCGGAGCTAGAATAAGGTACCTTGTGCCAACACCATGCACTCCCAGAGTAACACAAAACAATACAAACAAAGCATTGGTGACCGAAATGGACCTAAAGGTCTTTCCCCTTGCAGCTCCCCGTATAGCTTCAGGACCAGACACAGGAACCCAACTGCTTCCCACAGCTCCTCTTACAATTCACTTCTCTCGACCCTTTATAGGAAACAAGTGACTTCTTCTCAACTTATTGAACAAGGCAGGCTGGGTCCAGGCTCCCTGGCCCTTACCATGGCAGACCACCCTGTTACACCTTACCAGAGTTAGAGCTGTAATGCCCAGATTTGCCCCTCTGGGCAATAATAACAGGAATTTCAACACTAGAAATTCAGAAAATAAAAATGAAAAACACAGAGAAGGGGTGTTTTCTCATTGGTTTAGACTAACCAGCATGAGGTTAGGCACCCTAGGCCTTGCTCATGGCTCAGTGCAGCTGTTGGCAGTGATCAGTGAGTTAATGTTTTTCAGTGGCTGCCTTTCACACTATCTCTGTATAAAAAGGTACCTGTGACATCTGCTAAAAATTAATATGAAATTGGATGCACTTACTTATACAGCTAAAGGTCAGACTTGAAGGGAACCATCTTGGAGTGTATCTTCAGAAAGTGTTAAGGACTCAGAATACTAAGAAGCTGGGAGTTTTCTTCCCAATGTAGCCAGACCAGGGGTGGGCAAAAGGGCCTCCGCGGGCTGGATACGGCCCACGAAGTGGGTGGATCTGGCCCATGGAGGCCCTGCTGCTCCCCCAGCCCCAGCCTTCCCTGCTTTGCTCCCGCCCTGCGAGCAGCTCTTCAGGACCTAGGGGCGGGGGGAGATGCGTGAAGCGTCCTTTGCCCTGCCCCGGCACCTATGAGGAGCCATGTGCTCCTCACAGGGCGGGAGGAGGCTTCCCGTGCTCCCCCGCTCCCAGGCCCTGATTGGGCTGGGGGGTGGGGGCGTGTGCCAAGCCTCTTCCAGGGCATGGGTACCTAGTGGGAAGGGGGGGTAAATGGGCTCCCCCACCCCCAGACCAAGGTCGGGTAGCCCTGCCCCTTCCCATTTCGGTCCTGCCCCTTCCTGGGTGGCCCAGGGCTACTTCAAAAATGTTTGAAGTAGCCTCCAGGCAAAAATTATCGCCCACCCCTAGGCTAGACAGACATGCACCAGTTCTGCTAGAGTTACCATGCTAAAAATAGCAGCAAAGCCAGGTTAGGGGCTAGCTGTCTGAGTATGTACCTAGGGGTATGTCTACACTACCCTCCTAGTTTGAACTAGGAGGGTAATGTAGGCATACCGCACTTGCAAATGAAGCCCGGGATTTGAATTTCCCGGGCTTCATTTGCATAAGCGGGGAGCCGCCATACGAGGAGTAACGGTAGTTCGAACTAGGAAGCCTAGTTCAAACTACCTAGTTCGTGCCCCGTGTAGCCGCGCTGCATGGGGTTCGAACCAGCGGGGTTGGCGGCTCCCCGCTTATGCAAATGAAGCCCGGGAAATTCAAATTCCGGGCTTCATTTGCAAGTGCGGTATGCCTACATTACCCCGCTAGTTCGAACTAGCAGGGTATTGTAGACATACCCTAGGAGTCTAGACAGGTTTGTCTCAAGTGGCTAATCTGAGCTGCCATCCACGCTATCCCCAACTATGCTGTTATTTTTAGCACTCTAGCTTGAGCACAGCTAGTGTGTGTCTTGCACTGGGAAGCATGCTTCCAGCTGCAGCGTAGGCATACCCTAAGAAGAAACATGCATAAAGCCATTACTTAGTTTTGCTTTCCAAACAAATGGCCCTATCTTGAAGCTCTTCCTTAGGCAAAACAGCTACTGAGGTCAGTAGGAAGTTTGCTTGAGGAAGCATTCTGGGATTGGGCCAAGTGACAGCAAGTCTTGCCTACTTTCTTTTGCTTTACATATTAGTTTTGATCACCTTCAGTGAGAAGGGAGCTAAATATTGTTTGCAAAAATACCAAGCAGACAACACTGGACTCAAGTGACCATTTTAAAGGGTGGTGAGAGACACTGATATGAATGCAACACAGGAGCTGGCCCTGCATTTCAAAGCAGGATAGAATAACTGTCCTCACACAAGCTTGTATCTGAAGCCACAAACCTACGATGGGTTTTGTGGGCAATTTTGTGCAAGCAGATACTCACTAGCAACTATCTGCTAAGACAAGCAAATACAGGCTTTGAAAATGCTGCCCCTGCACATCTAAAGGAAAATAAATCACTGAAAACTCACAATTTTAGTAGGATTTTGTAGAATAATAAGAAAAAAAGGCAGTTAAAAATAAAACACTGCTGTCACCAATCTGATTTTCTACTGCATGTAATGAACTCTGCTCATAATTTATGGGCTAACTTAAAACAGGGTGAGTGACCCGTTTCCTAAACATCTGAACTAGCATGAATCTCAGCCTAACCGGAAATTGAACTTGGAATGAAAACCTTTGTTTGAAGGCTTGGATCAATTTGGAAGAGAAATTTTAAAAGGTACATACAATGTTATTCTCAGTTACTTGGCTCTAGTCACCTAACCTCCTAAGGAAATCACCTCCCCCCAAACGTCTCCACGCCTCCCACTCACCGTTGTCCTGGCACTGACCCTGAATGAAAACTCAGCCATTGTGGTGCTAGGCCTGGATATAATTAATCACTGCTGCTTTGCTTATAGCTGGATTGTTATCCTGCACTCCCTAGTTAGGCATTTGCATCATGCTAATGATTGATTCCTGAATATTTATGCCCTGCAAGCCATGGGGAAGCACTGCAGAGAGGGCCATTGGAGCCATATCTCAAAGCAATGGCCTAAAGTGGGAACTAGTTCTAGGTGAACGAGAGCTCTATTATAGGTAGGTATGAGGGAGGAGAAAGTGGACAAAGGTAGACGTCTTCAGCAGCAAGCCAACAGGAACAGGACAAATGATATAATAGCTTTGGTATCTTTATGATTGGGTCTGGGACACTACTATTTACAGGAAATGTTCCCTATTTTGTGTTTGCTCCATGTGTTCATATAGTTATGTGATATATGTACATACATATAGGTACATCTCAAGAAAGATGTGTATATGTGTGCACAAATGTGCTTACACACACACACACACACACACACACACACTATATAGTGCAAATATAAAAACATACTCATTATATCTGTTCCCTATATGTATTCTGAGTGACAGCAGATTATTTCAATGACAAGTTGTATGCCAACTACTAACTCTGAAGATTCAGTGCATGAAAGTTTCTACCTCCCTAGAAGTTTATGCAAGCTGAGGCAGCAGAAACCTGAAAAAATAGCTCAATGTGCCCTGGACAGATTCACCTCAATGGGATGTTAATTTTGAAACCCAACAATGGCAGTTTAGCCAGTAACTTTGGCTACTTCACTGTAGATCATTTAGCATGAACAACCCCCAGCTACTATGCTCATCTCACAATCCCAGATTGACAGCTGCACCTTTCCAGGTGTCAAAGGCTGCAACTGCCCCTTATCCCAGCTATCTGAACCTCCAACTTCTGTCTGGTAAATCCTACAGCCCAGAGGTATGTTTTCAATTCCACTACCCGGTTCCTCAGTCCACTGATCTTGGTATTCTTACATCAATGCTGCCATGTCCGTTTACATCAGCTGAGGACCTAGCTCAAAATTCTTCTGCAAATTGAAAATGTAGACGGCTGAATAAAATATACTGAACCTGGTATCAAGTTAATTAACAAAAGGGATAATGTTGTGATTATCTAATTCATTTTCATATACAGTGTAATGGAAGCCAGCATTTCTTGATTTATCTGAGGCTGGCGCAGAATCCCCAGGATCACAGACTCCAGCTAACTTGTCATAGAAGACTGGTCAAACTTATGTAGGAGTACATGGGGCACTAGTACCTACATAAAGTTCGGTGCAATCTGGCTCCCACAGCTTGCATTTGCATACCCTATTTTATTTTAATTCCTGCTTTTCCTTATTTTGGCTTTGGGCTTCTTACCATGCTGCTTCTTATGCCTGGAACCACCCATCTGTTCTTGTTCATGGAGACCCCTCTCTTTTCCTCTTTCCAACTCATCTTTTCAGGGAAACCTTCAACCCTTCATCTTCAGCAACCGCTAAACCTTACTGCCAGGGCTTGTCTACACTATGGAGAAGATCAATGCTGCCGCAGTCTATCTTCCAGGGTGTTGAATTAGTGGGTCTAGTTGGCATCAGTAGTCCTGCTTCTCATGAGGAGTAGGCGAAGCTGATGGTAGAGTGTGCTCCCGTCGACCACCCGCAGTGTGGATGGTGCCAAGATGCCATTTAATGTAGCTGGAATTGCGTATCTTAAATTGATTTTCCCCTTTAGCGTAGACCAGGCCCCCCTGATTTTTTTGTGCTATGTCTTGTCTTACATTTGCTTGTCTTGTTTAGATTGCCAGCTCTTCAGGGCAGGGAAAGCATCTTACCTCTATTCTGTAAATAGCCATGGAAATTTATGAGCCATAAAAAAAGTAATAATCAATAAACATAATGATATCACATTAAAATTCAAGCCTATGGCCTCTGCCTGGTACTTGGCAGTTATCGTAAGAGAAGTAATTTACAAAGGCTATGCATACAGAATATAGCTGAAAGATGAAGTTTAAAGATCAACCATTGGGAAGTATAAATTATTTACTCCACTAAAAGCTATGTAGTGCACAGTTGTCTTTTATTGTCTTAGAAAAATAAAGAGCTAGGGTCTGATTCAAACCCCACAGAAGTCAAATGGATCCTTCCATCAATGGAAAAAAGGCTTTGGATGAGAACTCTAGAGAATCCTGATATTAAACAGTGTACTGGACAGGGTTCTGCACCCAAAGTTAAAGAAAGCTAAAGAATAGGAAACCATTTGATCTCTACTTTGCAATCACTTTAGCATGTCTCTGCCCTTGGAGTGCAAAATTATAAAAGAAAAACAGAATGAGAGCAAGTTAACGGATATAAATACCTGGTGTCAGGAGTATAACAGAGGTGACAATCAGGGAGCAGATAACCAGAATAACCAGTAAAGCAATTGCAATTCCTTTCCAGTTTCTTTGTGGAGGATTACTCCCCACCAGCTCCTAGAAATAACAAAGAACGTGGAATATTAAGTAAAGGCACCAGAACATGGAAACAAAAAAACAACAAAATCCAATTATTAGTGCATTTTCCCCAGTATATTCATACTGCGCCATATATTGTTATGAATGTGGTAGCACAAACAGCCACTCAAAATACAGGTTATTTCATAGTACTATATCCTGGTGTTTATTCGATTCACTCTCAATCAAAATAAATGACCAGTGCAGGCAGTTCTAGACTTTATGAGGTTTGAGATACAATGAACGACACTTACAATATTTATTTTAACTTCTGATATTGGTTTCAACTTTATAAGTTCAATCTGTAAAGGAGAAAATTCCAGTTCCAAGTTATGATGTTTCAACTTAAGATGCAATGGTTAGGAACCAACTGTGTCATAAGTCCAAGCACTGCCTGTAAATATGATGGGCCAAATCCATATCTGAGATGCTTCCTCTTAGGTAACTGTGTGTATATATGGGAGGAGAAGCCATAATGCTTTGAAGGTAGAGTT